TAGGTAGGTAGGTAGATAGATAGATAGATAGATAGATAGATAGATAGATAGATAGATAGATAGATAGATAGATAGATAGATAGATACGAGGTTGAGGTGGGCAGGGGCAGGTGGCAGAGGGTTCCAAGATTCTCACGGGTCAAGAAAGAAAAGCAGTATATGGCCTTACAACTCTCTTTGGCAGCGGCTCTCAACCTGTGGGTCTCGGCCTCTTTGGGGGTCAAATGACCCTTTCCCAGGGGTTGTCCGATTCATCACAGTAGCAAAATGACAGTGATGAAGTAGCAACGAAAATAATGTTATGGTTGAGGGGTCACCACCACATGAGGAACTGTCTTAAAGGATCATGGCATGAGGAAGGTGAAGAACCGCTGTCCTAGGGCCTGACCAGTGACAGAAACCAGCTGGAGACAGAGTGGGCAAGCTCAGAATCTGAACTGATCATGCTAGCATCATGAATCTGGCCCTCCACCTCACCTGCCCCCTGCCAGCAGCAGGCCAGAGGCTGGGGTGCCTCCCCCCACTCCCCCCACCACCTTCCAGGCTTCTAGAACGATTTGCTCACCAGGGCCTGTTCTGCTTGCTCTAGGATGAAGCTGTCTACAGCCATGGCCTGCCTCTCCCTGGCCCTGGCCCTCATCTTTGGCGCAGGGTCCGCCTTGCCCGAGCCCCAGGCAGCCCAGCTGGCCACAGACTTTGGCGTGAAGGTGTTTCAGCAGGTCGTGGAAGCCTCCAGGGACCACAACGTGGTGTTCTCACCCTATGGGGTGACCTCCGTCCTGGCCATGCTGCAGCTGGCCACAGGAGGAGACACGCGACGGCAGCTCCAAGCAGCCATGCAGTTCAAGATTGAGGGTAAGAGACGGTGCCGGAAGCAGCGCAGAGTCCCCAGGGGAGGGCCGCCACGCGCCAGAACTCAGGCACTGCTGAGACGTAGCAACTGCCATCCTCTCCTCCAACCGCGCTCCCCACCGCTTGGCCCCTGACCAAGGTTATGCCCTTGGCAAGTCACCTAACCTCTCTAAACCTCAGCCGTCTCTTCTACGAAACGGCGAAAACTAAAGTATCCTCCGTACAGAACTGCGGGGAGGGTAGGTGGCAGAAGAAGCAGGCTGTCTACGCCTGCAATGAGTTGCAGTCCCAGAAACCTCTGGGGCAGCCCTACGCTGGCCTAGAAGGGTTGCCAAGAGCCAGAGCCGACGGGGTGGCGGTGGGTTTGGGCGAAGAGCATGATGTCGTCTAGCATTGTTAGGAGAAAGAGTTCAGGGCCCATCAGGTAAGAAGAGATGAAATTGGCCTTACCCAAAGAAAGGACTGGAAGCGGGAACTTGAGGAAGGGGGCAGATGCAGAAGGGAGAGCAAGGTGTGGAAGGCAATTCCCCTGCAAGGGCCCCTGGGGAGCAGGACAGCCCCATCATCTGGGCAGGGTGGGACCTCTCTGGGGGGTAGTCAGCCCTCTGCTCCACCGGAGCCTAATGTGTTGGATTCTCCTGCCTCGGCAGACAAGGGCACAGCCCCTGCCCTGCGCAAGCTGAACAAGGAGCTCATGGGGCCCTGGAACAAGGACGAGATCAGCACCACCGATGCCATCTTCATCCAGCGGGACCTGCCGCTCCTCCAGGGCTTCATGCCTCACTTCTTCCGGCTGTTCCGCAGCACGATCAAGCAGGTGAACTTCACGGAGGCGGAGAGAGCAAGGGCCATCATCAACGACTATGTGAAGAAGCACACAAGAGGTGAGCCAAGGGTCTGCGAAGAAACGGGGATGTGGAGACAAACCCAAGCGCCCTAACGCTCTCTCTTTCAGCCCTCTCTTCTCTGTCTGGTGAAAGCCGAGCGCTTTCAGAACCACAGCGTAAAGGCACGCTTGTCTGCGAATCAGGCCCTCTCATGAGCACCCACTCCAAGAGCACCCTCACCCAGGGACGTGGGGTTTAGTAAGAACAGCAACACCCACAACAAGCAAGACTGCAGCTCAGGGGGCCAAGTAGAGAGAGGGTTTTGAAAGAAGGGAGATGAGCCTCACCGGGGAGCAAGGGGGGCGCATAGTGGGTGGCACTTTGAGCTGCTGACTTCAAGGTCGGTAGTTCAAATCCACCAGCCTCTCCATGGGAGAAAGATGTCCTTTGCCACACCCTTTAAGACTCACAGCTTCGGAAGCCCACAGGGGCAGCTCCAGCCCATCCTGTTAGGTCGCTGTGACTCTGAATCAACTCGATGGCAAGGAGCGTGAGGGAGTTTACATTTCTAGAACCAAGCAAATGTGGTGAGATGCTGGTAATCACAGGAGGAGGGGGCAAGTTGAAGGCAACTGGATTGGCTCATGTAAACTCCCAGGCCGCCCCTCTAACCCGACCCCTTCAGCATACATCTATTTGAGGCCTTGGGCTGATGGGGAGCCATCTAAGCGTGAAAATCATCGAGCATCCTGATCAAGGAGTCCAAGTAGCACAATGGTTAAGTGCTCGCTGCCAACCCAAAGGCCGTTGGTTCGAACCCACCCCGAGACTCAGTGCTCTGTTCCCATCACAGCGTAGGAAACCCTATAGGTCAGGTCTGCTCTATCACATAGGTCTACTCTATCATATGGCCACCCTAGCAGATCGGTCTGTGTTCTGTATCACATCGAGTTGGAATCGACTCAGTGGCAGTGAGTTTAAGGGGCTTTGTAACGAGTCAGGGTCCATTTGGGCGCACACCAACCTCCCTCCTGGTCACCTGGCTTTCCCACAGGCATGATCAGTGACTTACTTGGCAAAGGGGCCGTGGACCAGCTGACGCGCCTGGTACTGCTGAATGCCCTCTACTTTAATGGCCAGTGGAAGATGCCCTTCCCAGCCTCACGCACCCACCACCGCCTCTTCCACAAGTCCGACGGCAGCACTGTCTCTGTGGCCATGATGGCCCAGACCAACAAGTTCAACTACAGTAAGTGCAAGACCAACGCCCCCCTCCGCCCCCATCACCTCAACTCCTACACGATTGCACCTCATAGTTGGGGTGCATCCCAAACGTTTCCCTCTGAGAGAGGAAGACTGCAGGGAAGCTCCCCACACCCCCGAGGAAGGAGAAACTCTAGCCCCCACCCCCACTCGGGCAAATACTTCTCAAGTGGGAGACACAGGGAATCGCAAGCTGATGCTGAAATCCAGACATCCCGCTGTGGATCCCTTGACCCCTGTCTCCTTCTAAAGGGCTTCCGGGGCCAAGAAGGCTTGCTGGGAGGGAGGGGGGAGGCTGAGCAGAAGCTGAGGTGAAGGCCATGCAGATTGGGGGACATTTGGGGTGGGGGTGGGGGGTGGAGGAAGACACAGGTACCGAAGGCCAAGAAGAAAGCTCCGGTGGACCGCCAGTAGAGAAGGGACGTGGACCGAAGCGCATTGAAGGGAGGCGATGGGGGTACAGAGCTTCACAGGCAGGGTGGAGAGCTTTGCTTCGAGAAAGAGCGGCGAGGACAGGACTTTCTTGTGTCTTCACAGCTGAGTTTGCCACCCCGGATGGCCATTACTATGACATCCTGGAATTGCCCTACCACGGAGACACAATAAGCATGTTTGTGGCGGCGCCCTACGAAAAGGAGGTCCCTCTCTCTGCCCTCACCAACATCCTGGACGCTCAGCTCATCTCCCAGTGGAAGGGAAATATGACCCGCCTGCTTCGCCTGCTGGTTCTGCCCAAGTGAGTTGCTGGCCATGCCTTTCATTTCCTCCCGCCTCCTCCCGCTCGGCTCCTGAAAGCACCGCTCAGCTCTGCATCCCACACAAGCACCCTGCCCGCCCACCCCATCCCCTGTGGGATTCCCAGAACCCTCACATCTGCAGGGCGGGCACCCATGTGGGAAGGAGGGGAAGGGGAAATCGAGTCACCCGCATTTGATTAAGACGCCTCCTGCTTCAGCTGCAGGGCGGGAGTCAGGGGTGGGGAGGGCCCGGGGCTTTCTCAGACATCCAGCTCCACCCCTCCCCATCCAGCATTGACCACGCTGGCTGACCCAGGAAAAGCCAAAAGAAACGCAAGAACAAATGAAGGATGGGAGAGATTGAGTTGGTCTAAAGTGGTTTGGGGACACCCTTCCCTTCCTGCACCATCCCCACCTGTCCCCCCCACTGCACACACACACACACACACACACACCCATCGCCTCAAGCCAATATCCAAACACTAAGAACAAGAGCAATCACTTCCGGGAGGTAAACAGCCCAAAGGGCAGCTTCTAACTGGAGTTCCAAGAGCCACAAACCAGTCAGCAATCTTTTGGCAGCTGCCGCACCTCCTGCTTGCCGGCAAAGGGGTGGAGAAGGCTGAGGTCGGAAACCTCTCCCTCCTCCTAGTCCCTGACACTTCCAGATGCACGTACCTCCGCTGGGCTTAGGGACAGAGGGGCTATTAGTGGGTTAGATAGTCTCTGGCTCTCTCATCAAAAGAGAGGTCATTAGTCATCCCTGGTGGGAAGGGAAGAGAGCCCCAAACCGCCCTGCTGGGGAGCTCTTCAGAAGGAGCTCTCGCAGCTACCCGATCTGCAGACCAGATTTTGGTGTGACTTGTCCGTCTCCCAGGAGATTTGCCCTTGCTCCCTCCCGCCCCTCCACAGCCAGACCGACTAAAACGATGCCGAAACGACTGCTTTATTTGAGGAACCTAATTAGTCATAGGCGTGTGTGTGTGTGTGTGTGTGTGTGTGTGTGTGTGCAGGGATGGCGGAAGAAGGAAGGCTCAGTGAGATGGGAAACTTCCAGCGAACGCAGACCTTGTGAACAGAGCAGCCCCACCCCCTCCTTCCACCACAGTGCCCATCTGCCAGGGCACCGGGCTGGCTAGGAGGGCCCAGGGCTGCCAGCAAGAGGGGGCCCAGAGCTTGAGCTGCTTCCGGCACCCCCTTCCCCTCCCCAGATTCTCCCTGGAGACTGAGCTGGATCTCAGGAAGCCCCTGGAGAACTTAGGGATGACCGACATGTTCAGACCAGACCGGGCCGATTTCACCAGCCTCTCAGGTGAGGGGTTCTCCTGTGACTGCATCTTGCTCCGGGTGGTGGGCAGGGGGCGGGGCGGTATCCCTGAGAAAAACAAAGGTGCTTCTCTCTGAAAACTCACCTGGCCTCCGGTCTGTCCGCCCCAGATGAAGAGCATCTCCACGTGTCGCAGGCCCTGCAGAAGGTGAAGATTGAGGTGAACGAGAGTGGCACGGTGGCATCCTCATCCACAGGTGAGCCTGGCCCGGGGGAGGCCCTGCCCCTTGGGGATAACTAGCCCCCAAGCCCGGAGGCAAGGCAGCAGGAGGCCCAGCCCCTGGCCTTTCTCCTCCCACTGCTGGTGCTTAGCCTAGAAAACAGGGCCCCTTCTCTGGGACCCCCTTCCTTTTCCTGGTGGTGTCTGGGGTCCCCTAAATGAAGAGAAGCCTGGTGCGTTTCCACAGTAAACTTAAGGAAGCACCTCATCCAGGAGTCCAAAAAAAGATTCGCAGCAACTTCTGTTTGTGGTCAGATGGCTGGGTAGAGTATCTAACAAGCCACTGGTGGGGTGGGGGGAGGCGGGGGAATCCACATCCGGAGGCCTTCCTGAGCCTGGTCGATCCATCCGGGACACAGGGCCACTGGTCTCGTGGTCTCAGACGGTGTGTCTTTTCTTGCAGCCGTTGTGGCCTCCGGCCGGATGGTCCCCATGGAGATCATCATGGACAGACCCTTCCTCTTTGTGGTGCGGCACAATCCCACAAGTAAGTCGGCCCCTACAAGGCTCCCATGAGCCCTCCCTCCATCCAATCCTCCTCATCTCGAGCACCACCCCAGACAGATGGGTGTCCCCCACCCCCACCCCCGAGGGACCTACACTTGTAGACAGAGTGCTGTGCGGTGGGGTGGGACCCCAGCCCCCACCCTTAGCCAGCACCGGTCCCTGACACCTCACTGCCTCCCTGGGGTCTGGCTGGGAGACTCGCAGTGCCCTTGACTGTGGGCTTTCCATCCTCAGGAACAGTCCTCTTCATGGGTCAAGTGATGGAACCTTGACCCCCTGGGGACAGAAACTCCCGCCTGGGACAGAACTGGAAATGTAGCCAGAAAGAAGGAAATCTGGGAAAAAGAAGAAGAAGGAATGTTTTAAGTCCTCTTTCTGGGAGAAAGAGAAGACAGTTTCTTTCCTCTTATTTTTTTTTTCTAATTTAAATGTTTGCTATGAATCTTTCCAATCAGCCTCCTAGACCTCAGCCCCACGAGGGTCTATCTAACCCAAGCGTGGGAAAGACGCAGGACCGAACTCCTTGTGGAGATGGTGGGCAAGAACTCTGACGCCTAATCCTTGGCCATCTCCCACGCAGACTCTCGGCACTCCCGGGCCCCCAGGCTCAGCTTTTCCTGTGCATCTTCCAGCCCCGTGCAGCATTTCAGACCTGCTTCCCGCTGGGCCGTGGGCAGGAGGGAACCACGGGCCTAGCGCAGCTTTTAGGAGCTCAGAGGAACGATCTGTGTTCCAGTCACGTTGCCTCCCGTCTGCCCCTGCAGAGGAGGCTGGCACCAGGCCAGCGAAGGCCAACGGGAGAAACACCCTTTCATCTCACGGTCCAGCCTGACCTGGGAGGTGCTGGAGGGCCGCAGAGCAGGGCCCACTCAGCATCCTGATCCCTGGCCTGGCCATCTCCGCGCCCCCCCCCTGCCCCCCAGGGGAAGAGTGCTATGCAGGTGATTGTTGAGTGTAGGTGACTTGTTTACACATCAAAGCAGCTCGCTGCTTCCCACAAACCTCCTTTGGCAAAACTACACCATGAGAAAGGTTAGCTGTATGCCCCAGCTCTTTGTCTCCCATCTCTGGTGCAGAGGATGGGGTGCCTGCATTTGTGCTTGAATATTTATCACCTCCCCCCTGTGTGCCTGTGTGTGAGAGAGAGAGCTCTATGAAGACAAATGTAGTGTTTAAACTCACTCCCACGACGTAGCTCTCAGTGGCCTGAGAAGCCAGAAAAGGTTATCTATCACTGAGTCCCAAGCCCAGAGGTCTATCTTTATGGAAACAAATGCCTGTGGCCGAATGGTTTCTCAGCTGGCGAGGGAGACTGCGAAGGTCAGACAGACGCTGCTCGTGGGTGCCCCTTCTCCAGGGGCGCCCAGGGCACCCGCCACCTGCACCCTGTAACCCCTCCACACACCCTGCTCAGGAGGCTTGGCAGCCATGCCCTCCGGAAGCCAGGTGTGATGGCGGGGCCGACACTGCCACCTTGTGGCCGCCCGAAGCCCCTCTGCTCTCCCTTCCACCCCCCTCTTGCCAGTCCTTCCGGCCAGGTTCCTGTCCAGAGGGTCCAACTTCCGCCCACTTTAAAATGACCCAAGGGGTAGGAAAGGTGAGCGAGGCTTGAGCGAGAACAGTGCGGTTCCGAAATTTTCCAATCGATTCAGGAACAGAAGAGCAAAGGGCAGCACGACCTACCAGGACAGAACTTTCCCCAATTACAGGGTGACTCACAGTCGCATTGGTGACTCACCGCAATGTGCCATTTCCGGCTGCTGTGTGTGAGGAGTGGACCCTTGAGGAGAGAGAGAGAGAGAGAGAGAGAGCTTGGGCTCAACTACTGTTAGACCATCTTTTTTGAAAGCCTGTGAGCTGGAGGGTAGGGCCACGAGATGCATGCATCTGCTGAAGAATTGCACTGCCACGTGAAAGGCACGCGCACCCGAAGAAGCCCGATCCTACAGCGACAAGTTCTCAGTGGGCTTTGTGTTGTTTTTGTTGTTTTAAAGGTTGTTTCCCCCCCCCCCCATTATACACTGGAGAGCGACAGCCACACACAGTCCCTGGGGGTGGGGTGTCCAACATGATTGAACCTGTGTTTAGTGATGCTTGTTTAATTTTGATACATAAAGAAATATTTAAAAAGGCAAAAAAAAAATCAATAAATACAGAGAGCATTTAAAACCGTTCCCTGTCTTGGTTTCCCGTGGTTCACAGCCCAAGATAACACTTTCCTGCTGGAGCCTCACTCTCTCCTGGGATCTCCAGGAACATAGACCCACAGGCCCAGGCGTGTGGAGCCACGGACCATCTCTAAATCTTCACTCTCACCCAACGTAAACACCCAACCCTAATCTTAAAGCCAACCCTAGCCCAACCTCGAAGCAAATAACCTGAGAGGTGAAGGAAGTGCTTCATGATGGAGATCAAAAACCACAGCCTTAGGCAGCAGGCAGTCTTTGGGGTTTTCCAGCCTGGACCCCTGCCCTGTTTAGCGATCACCTGGTGGAGAGGGCTCTGCACTGGGGACTGCTGCAGGGAGTGACTCAAAGCCTCCATTGGCCACCTTTGGGCAGTGCCCCTAGCATGCTGAGATTCCCACAGCTGTTCAGAACCTGAAAAAAAAAAAATCGTGATTAGTACTCAACAGGTTGTTTGGAAGAGCTCACAGTTCAGGGAGCTCTGTCGAATGATCCGGTGGCCGGCCACTCGAGATGTCAGTGTACTTCCATAGCTATGGGACCCTGGGCAAGTGTGGCACCCTGGGCTATCATGTTCAAGAACCGAGCTCTAACATCTGAGTGTTCTTGGACCACGTGTGATGAGGCGTCTGTCTGCATGAAATAGACCCTGTGTCATGGATGACACTCAAAGCAGGGAAAATCAACAAGAAAACTTGCAGCCTTTATTAAGGATTACACCTCAACATACATTTTTTAAAATTTAAAATCCTTACAACTGGACCAGTAAGCAACATCCTGACACGCAGAGGAAAGAACCGATGTTGTCAAGGATGTCCGTGTTGCTTGCATCCACAATCTGTGCCTGTGGAAGCGGGCGTCAAGAAGTCCAAGGAACTGTTGCGTTGAGCACATGTGCTGCAAACAATCTCCTGAAAAGCATTCGTTTAAAAAGCAAAGCTGTCACATCAAGGACTTTGGCCCAGACCATGTTGTTGTTGTTTTAAATCTTTCACGTGCATGTGAAAGACGGACAATGGATAAGGCAGACTGCAGGACAGTGAGTTCTCGGGTGTGCAAAGAACATGGAAAGAGGCATGGATGGCCAGAAGAGGACACCAGTCTGCCTGGGAGGAAGGAGAGCCCGAAGCAAGCGTGGTGAGACTTCCTCTCATGGACTTCAGACATGTTGTCAGGAGAGGCCAGTCCCTAGAGAAGGACAGCACGCGTGGTAGAGTGGAGGGGCGGCCAAAACAAGAGGAAGACCACCGTCAAGGAGAGGGCTGGACACAGCAGCTGCAGGAATGGGCTCATATAGGAAGGACGATAACGGGACGCAGACTGGGTGGAGTTGGGGTTCTGCTGGGCATCGGGTCACTCTGAGTCGGGACTGACTCAAAAGCACCCAACAACAGCAATAACCCTTCCTGAACCCTAACCCCTAACCCAAACCCTAATCCCCAACCCCTAACCCTAATCCAAACCCAACAACAGCAATAACCCTTCCTGAATCCGAACCCTAACCCTTCCTGAACCCGGAACCCTAAACCTAACCTCTAGCCCTAACCCTAACCCTAACTCGATAACTCAAACCCTAACCCAACAAAAGCAGCAACCCTTCCTGAACCCTAACGCTAACACCAACCCTAACCCAAATCCTAACCCTAACCCAAATCCTAACCCTAACTCAAGGCCCGGAGTGGGGACCATCTGGCCCGTGGGCTGGATGTGTCCTGGGAAATCCTCAGTGCCAGCTAACGTCCATGGCCCACTGCAGAGAAGCAGTTCCAGCCACCACGCTGTTGCTGTTAGGTGCCTCACAACTGGTTCCCACCCACAGTGAGCCTGCGCACAACAGAAGGAAACCCTGCCCTGTCCAGCGCCCTCCTCACCGCGGTGCCCCTGCTTGAGCCCATTGTTGCAGCTACCTAGTCAATCCATCTCCTTGAGGGCTTTCCTCTTTTTCACTGCCCTCCACTTGACCAAACATGATGCCCTTCTCCAGGGCCTGGTCTCCCCTGACCACACATCCACCCATCACATTAGGAGTGAGTGAGTTCAGTGTTTGAACAGGATAACCCTCAAATGTTATAAATGTCCCGATGGCCGTGGGAGAGGCAAGGTTTCTCCTCCTGGCCCTAAATCCGGACACTGACCACGAGTTCTCTACAAGGCCCACGGCCTGGTGCGGTGGGGCCTGGTTCTCACGCTGAACATCTTCCTCAAGAAAGAAAGAGAGTCCTCAAATAGCTCCACCCAGTCAGATGGGCCTGCTCTTGGCTACACTGCTCTTGTATTCCAGTCTCTGTTCATGCTATTGCTTTCCACCTCTGAAAGCCAGCTACCTCGGTTCCCCAGTCCCACAAAAACCCAGGGCAAGTTCCCCTCGAATCTAGCCAACATCATCAGTTATTTGGGGGTTTTCTTCATCATCAGTTTTTAATTTGATCACTATTGGCTTTTCTTGTCCCTGCTTTGTAGTAATGCTCATATTCATGCATGCCCTTCCGTTTTATACGCCCCTTGCCCGCTCTACCACCTACCCGTATCTCAAGTTACTTGGAAAGAAGAATCCTTTGTTACAGATACACTTGATATCCTCCTCCCAATGGCTCCCTAACATAAATCTGACTTGAACCGTTGAAACTTCGCCAGCTGATTCCCCCTCTGATGCACACTGGACCTGATCTAGGCTTCAGCATTTTGTGTATTTTTGTTTTTGTTCGTTCATATTAGGGTGTACCTCAGTGGTGTGATGTCATTGCAGATCACACTCTTGACGTTGTGTTGTATGCTGTTCTGATTTTTTGATAGATGTAACTCAGGATGGATGAACCTATAGAGACAGCAAGTAAAATCAGGGTATGGGGGAGGGAGGGGAAGGTAGAGGAGAGGGTAGGGGGGAGGTAAAAGGGATACGGTGTCAAGGAGGCCAGAAAGAAAAAGAATGTTGGGAATCTGACGGTGGTAGCAATTGTACAATACTGCTTGTTGTGACTGAATTGTGGAATGATATATGTATGAACTCCCAATTCATAATACATTTGTTTGTTTGTTTGTTTTAAAGAAAAAGGGGGAAAATGCTCCTTAAAATGTCCTTTATTCTCTTCCTCCAGTAGCTTAAAGGCTCTTGGCAGAAGACATAGTGCCCCCCCCAAAAAAGAAGAAGACATAGAGCCCTCAGCTAGTTTGTTCATCTATTCAAAAACAAAAACTTTAACTGAAAAATGGCTCGGCATTCCTTATCCGACTGAAGTATTGAACTGTGTGACGTCTAGATGATGTCCTAACAAGATGAGTTGTTGTTGTTTGTTTGTTTGTTTAAGTGCACTACAATTTTAAAATAATAAATAAATAAAACAAGCAAAAAACAAAAGGAAAGAAATGGGGGCGGGGGGGATTAGCTACATACTTTCCCACTCTAGAATCCTACAAGTCGGACTAATAGGCTCTGTCCACAGCATTCTGTTCCAGCCCTCTCAACTTCTACAGGACTGCAGGCCACTTCTGAAATGGGAACTCATTAGCTTATGGGGGTCCTTGATCCAAACCATGTAAGGAGTGAGCCCTCTGTCACCGGAAGCATTCAAGGACAACCAGGATGAACTTCGGTGCACATGCTTCCATGGTCAAGGTATATGATCAGATGATTGATTTTATTATTGTTATTATTATTAGGACAGACAACAGGTGCTCATAGTAAGACACGCCAATCTTTCGAATGGTCCAAGGCGAAAACTCGATAGCCACTCCTACCTCTGGTTTCTTGCGTGGTTTTGTGGACCTGTGTTGAGCATTCGCAAATGTGATAAGCATGTAGGAGACCTCCTTTCCTTTCACACAAACTCAGTCATAGGATATATTGTGCTGCTTTCTTCAGCTCATGATACATCCCAGATCTCCTTCCCGAATTCTTACCAGCTGTAGGTAGAGATAGCTGATACAGTTCCCTAACCACCACCGATGGCTAGTTCAAGGGTTTTGTTGCTGCTGCTGTCAACCGTATGTAGTGATGTAGACACCTTTGTGCATTTCTCCCAGGGCCCGGATGCTCAGGTACTCAGAATAACTCCCAGAATTAGGAGGAAGTGTCTTCTTCTTCTTTTAAATCATTTTATTGGGGGCTTGTACAACTCTTATCAAAACCCATCCATCCATCCATCCATCCATCCATCCATCCATCCATCCATCCATCCATTGTGTCAAGCACCTTTGTACATTTGTTGCCTCATCATTCTCCAAACACTTTCTTTCTACTTGAGCCCTTGGTATCAGCTCCTCACTTTTACCCCCATTCCAGGGACGTACCTTCTAAGAAGCTGCTGAACCTAAAACGATAGGATGCTGGGTAAGCAAACATTTTCCATTGGTGCGGTCACAAGTGTTCGTGTTGCCGGTTAGAATCCGACCTTTTCTCAAGGTGAGATGCTCCTTCACCGCTTTCCCAAGAAGCCACGTCCTTGAAGACCGACAGGTTTTAGATCTCGAACGAGAAGAATGGTCCCTGGACCTTTTCCTCTGAGACGATGGTAGCAAATTCTAATCATAATGTTTTTGAGAATAAATTTAAAAAGGGGACCCGCGACAAAATACATTTCTCTAAACCCTCACAACTGGACAACCCAAAGAATCACACATGCACACACACACACACACACACACACGTTATCTCTGGACTTTAGAGAATAAAAATGTATCAATACTTGTTCACTAACTGTAAGGTGGGTGTCACGAGAATGCAAGTTGTTAGGGGATTCTGGTAGAGGGATGGGAGGGGGCATGTGGAGACTGCTTTCTGTACGATTTTTCAGTAAATCTAAATCTGATCTAAAAAAATCATTTTTTAAAAAAGGGAAAACTACTAACAAGATGTGCCCGCAGTCATCATCGGTAGACATGTCTTGTAAATCTTTCACCGTGGAATGACTTATCATCCCGTGCGCAGGCAGTCGGATGAATTTTGTAAACCGTTCAATGGTAG